AAAAACGTTGCGCAATTGTCCATGTTTACATGGACAAGGCAGTTATTCTCTTCTTCATTCTTTTCATGATCATTTCCACGCACAGAATCCGGACTTTCCACGCACAGAATCTGGACCAAGCAGCTCCAAAATTCCACCTTGCCGCCTTGCACCAACTGTGCAGAGGTGGACTCAGAGGATTGGACCATCCCTTCTTCTTTTTTCACACTGGTCATTCATTTGAGAACGTCCAAGTCCCCGGAAAGCATGAACATTCTTGGTAGCTCCTCTCAGCCGCCGGCCTGCCTGAAATTCCTGTACTTCTGATTGAGTCAGTGGCAGCATTGATTACTGCCTCTGGGTACTTCAGCCATAACGGAATAAACGAGGGCGCGTGGAGTGGTTTCCCATGTAAGGGATGCTGGACCCGGTTTCCAGCATGTGGAATAAAAGTTCACGTCCATGATGATGCTCTTGTTCCACACACGTGCAGCTGGCAGAACCATAGAACTCCTTGCAGAGAAGCAAACGGAGAGAATGTTCAACGTACTGCAGGGGCGAAGTAGCTGTGATGCTACTACATAGTTCAAACATGGAGAAAACCGGAGCAGGTAAAAAAGAAGGGTGAGAAGATGAAATGAATGAGAAGACACCGAGATGTACCCAACCCATGTGGCTGAATGGCAAACACATGCAGCTTTTTGATTAATGAACAGATCACGAGTCCGAGTCGTGACGGAATCAGATTGATACAATAATAATGGACGACGAAGAAGAAACTTTTGATTGATGAACAGATTGTGAGTCTGAATCCTGACGGAATCAGACTGATACAAGAAGAAGAAGAAGAAGAAGAAGAAGAAGAAGCCGCTACATGATTCTACATGCATAGTAATCACCAGCATACAGCATTAGGTGAAACGGAGCCCATGCTATTGCCAGTCAATGGCCTACAAAGGGCGAAGAAGTAGCGATACTCTGGTTGCTGCTACATGGCCGAGGACCGTACAAAACTGAAGGAATGTAGTCTCCATGAAAGTGATGACCCCAGGAAGCACCGATGTAGAAAAAAACAGCACAGTATTTTCAACGTGGTATGTAGATAGAAAAAACACCACGGTATTTCGCCTGTGGTACGCAGGTAAAAATACCACAGTATGTTTTACTGCAACATCTACCACAACCTGAGTACTCTGAAATTGTGTGAGCGTCAGGATGGGGATACTGGCAACAGCAGGCAAGATGCAAGGGGGATCATGAGGATAAGCGCAGCCCCGTTTGTTTATGCACAGAAAGAGAACAAAGAGGGGGGACAAGTCTCAGTTGACGAGGAGGGCATCGTAAGGGTAGAGAACAAAGAGGGGGGACAAGACAAAAAAGGTCTCAGTTGACGAGGAGGGCATCGTAAGGGNTTGACGAGGAGGGCATCGTAAGGGTAGAGAACAAAGAGGGGGGACAAGACAAAAAAGGTCTCAGTTGACGAGGAGGGCATCGTAAGGGTAGAGAAGAAGGAAGGAAAAGGTTGCCTGCGATGGGGAATAAGAAACCGAGGAGTCCTTCTGTACATTCCATTAAAAACGGAGCGACAAAGAGAAGACTCACCTGGCCCCTGTGCGAGCAAGGATGACACGCACAGAAATCGAGAAATGGTTCAGATTCGAAATTATAAGAAAAGGAGGTAGAAGAGGCGTATCAGCAGTACAAGCAGGCTGACAAGCAGTGCGAGAGGAACCACACTTGCGTGGAACAAGGCACAGGTTAATGCACCAATGGGCCTAGCTCAGTTGGTACACCTACGAACTGTTGAAATGCAGACCAGAGTTCGAATCCAGATACCACCAGATGACCATAAGGGCACAGGTTAATGCCAGAGAAGTTGAGGGGAGATAGCAAGCTTAGAAGAGGAAGGAAAAGCCACAAGATGGCAGAAATGGCGGAGAGAAGGGGGGGGGGGGGGGGGGGGGGGGGGAAGACACTAACAGGATGCTCTCCACAAATAGAAAGGAGCAATTGTCTGTTGAAAAAAAAAAAAAAACTAACAGGATGAAGAGGCCAAGGGAGAGACGAGTCAGAGGAGGTACAAACGGGGAAGAGAGAAGAAGAGTAATCGAGGAAGAAAGGGGGTGCCAGGAAGAAATCAGGGAAGAGAAAGGGAGAAGGAAGAAACGAAAGGGGATGAAGACTCTCGAGAGACAACCCCAAAGAGAGGGCAAGCATAGCACACAAGAGAGATCGGAGGGATAAAGAAACTGAGGGATTTGAAGAACTCAAGGAGGGGTAAAAGCCGAAGCTAGAGCCGGCAAGGATGTCGAAGAAGGGAAGGGGAGAAGAACCCCTTCTTCTTTCTCACCGAGGAGATGAGGAAATCAAGGGAGACAAAGCTAGAGAAGCCCAAGGACTGCGGAGAAGGGAGGAGAGGGGAGGAAGAAAACAGGGAGGACGTGAAGCTAGACACATCAAGGTGAGAAAGAGCGCCGGGAGTGCAAAGAAAGAGAGGGTATGAAAAAGAAGCAAGGGAAGATAGGGGAAGGAGGGGGAGGGAGGAGGTGAAAGAAAAGCAGGGCTGCCGAAGAAACTGTGTGAAGGAATGACGTCAACAGAGCCTGGAGGATAAAGTAGGTGTTGAGGAGAGCAGAGGAATTGAAGTTGAGGGCAACAGTCGTTTGAGCAATCCACCCAGATTGCAGAGCAGCAACTGATCACGATCGCATACCCCACTGTCTTTCCTCTTTGGGAGAAACACTGGTCTGAGCTCCACAGGGATTACTCCAAGCGTGTCAACACTTTCCTAATTCAGGCAGTCTTATTACTTACATTTTCCTCCTCAAAATGCCCACGTGACTGCTCATGTGAGATAATGATGATGATGATGATGATGATGATGCAAATGGTACATCTATACAGTAGAAACACACTTCCTGGCACAGTACGTACATACATACATACACAGGTGTTATGTGAGGAGATACTGATAAGACACGTGTTGGGCATTACTAGGGCCGGGGAAAAGAAAAGAAAGAAAAGCATAAGAGGTGTTGTGCAGACAGAACGGGAGCAGAGAATGTACTAGTACCAGATGTGAGAAGACGTTTAACAGGTACTGCAGAACAGTAAAGGACGGCCGTCCGATATTCAGAAAACCAAAGGGGAAAGAGAGAGAAGAAAAGAGCTGCAGCCTATCTTTATCCCGACGGCAGATCATGGAAGCCCACGTAGCATCCCACGTGCGTCTGCCAAACAAGACAGGACAAAATCGATTCAGTTTAGGATGTAGAGGGTACACAGGATGTGGAGGGTACATAGGATATAGATGGTACGTGGGATGTAGAGGGTACGTAGAATTTAGAGGGTGCATGCAGAGGGTCCTAAGGGTACATANTAGGATGTGGAGGGTACGTAGGATGTGGAGGGTACATAGGATATAGATGGTACGTGGGATGTAGAGGGTACGTAGAATTTAGAGGGTGCATGCAGAGGGTCCGAAGGGTGTACAGGGTACGTAGGACGTAGAGCGTGCCTAGGATATACAGGGTACGCAGGATGTAGAGGGTTCGTAGGATGCGGGTGCGTAAAGGGGAAGTAGAGGGTACGTGGGATGTGAAGGGTGCATGCATGTGGACGGAGGGTACGTCACACGTGGTTTAACAGGGCGTGTTTTTTTTTTGGGGGGGGTAAAATTTTGCACTGAAATTGTCACATTGGCCAGATTTTTTGCTTTTTTTTTGTTCTTCTTTTTGTGTGAAATGCAGGTGCTTCAGGGTACCTCGTGCGTCCAATTTTGACAAGTTTGGACTAATAGAGAAAAAGTTTGGCGTTTCATTAAAATTGTTGGACGCTTCATTTTACATAACTCGGAAAGTGTTTTTCAGTTAGGGTTTTACAGTGTTTTTGTGTTTTTTTGGTTCCTTATTTTTCCGGTTTGTTTTTTTTAAATGTATGTACGAAGGGCCAAAGTTTTCCACTATGTTGCTTCTGGCGGTGCGGCGAAAAAACGGCGAATTTTCAGCCCTCCGTCAACCGTATGTCGGGGTCCATAGGATGTAGAGGATGAATGAAGAGGGTTCATAGGATGTAGAGGGTACGTGGATGTAGAGGGTTACGTAAGATATACAGGGTGCGTAGATGTACAGGCTGAATGCAAACGGTGCAGAGGATGTAGAGGGTACGTAGACCGTAGAGGGTCCGTAGGAAATAGAGTGTGCCTAAGATATAGAGGGTACGCAAGATGTAGAGGGTGTAGAGGGTACCTTGAAAGTGGAGGGTACGACCGTGCGTACGTGAATGTGGAGAGTACGATAAACGATGTGGAGGGTAGGATAGAGGGTACGTAGAATATGGAGGGTACATAGAAACTCGAGGATGCATAGGAAGTAGAGGGTACGATAGAGGGTACGTACAGTGTGGAGGGTACGTTGAGGGTGCGCAGGATGTAGAGGGTACGATAGAGGGTACGTAGAGTGTGGAGGGTACGTTGAGGGTGGGCAGGATGTAGAGGGTACGGAGAGCCGTCGTACATGTCATGCATGGACGACCGATCGCCTGCTAGACGTTGTGTGCACCTCCTAACGTCTTCCCCCGAACACAACGCACGCTCATCATGAATGCATGCAAGCCATCTTCCAGAACTAGCGGTTAATAACAGCGACCCCCACTTTTTTGCCCCAAGTTAACCCCCCAAACCCTGAAAAGTGCATTGGAGATGATTTTTTTCAGTGTTTTTTCAGTTTTTTTTTTTTGCCCCTGTTTTATTTTTGCCCAAGGTCTGTGTGTGCCAAGTTTGGTGTTTTTGTTGGGGTCTTGGAGTTGACTGTTTTGGCCAGTCCTAAAAAATCCTGAAAAATCTAAAAACTGAAAAGAGTGAATTTTGCATGAAAACACACTTTTGCCTTCGGGTTTAAAGCCCCTTTGACTAGGCTACCAGAGTGGCCCGGGGACACTTGCCCGGCCGGGCAAAAAAAATAAAATAAATAAAATAAAATAAAAACATTTTAAAGTTTTATTTTTTATTTTAAAATTGGTGAAGAATTTCGATGTGACCCTGAGGCAAAAGTTGTTCAGTTTATTTTTCTGCACAACATAGTTTTTTTTTGGATTTTTTAGATTTTTTTTTTTTTTTTTTTTTTTTGCTGGGACCTTCCCTGGTCCTTGCACGGGCTGGCCACCCGGGACCCGGGCCGCCCGGCTGGTAGCCTAGCCCTTTGATCATTTTTTTCCCTTTTTTTTTTTTGCTGTTGGTTTATTTCATGTCCATTCTATGGACTGGTGACAAGTCTGGTGTGAGGCGTTCGTTATAATGACCCTGAAAAAAATCCTGAAAAATTAGGCCTCTGTTAACCGCTTCTCTCTTTCAGGCCATGTAGAGTCATGACAAGGGTGCGTTCTGTTCGGGGAAAGACTATCGATAGCAAGCTCAATGATCACTGTGCATGCATGCGACGGTGTCATCATTCAGCTTGCTATCGGTAGTCTTTCTCCGAACAGACTATCGACAGCACGCTGAATGATCACCACGAATGCATGCGACGGTGTGATCATTCAGCTTGCTGTCGATAGTCTTTCCCCGAACAGACTATCGATAGCAAGCTGAATGATCACTGTGCATGCATGCGACGGTGTCATCATTCAGCTTCCTATCGATAGTCTTTCGCTGCTCACGACGGTGTTAACAGGCACAAATGGAGAGACAGAAAGAGTAATCAATCACTCAGCTTGCTACGGTCTTCCTCCGAACACACCCTTCAATTCACATTCTGTACTATGATATCAATCAACACTGATCATTTACAGCTACAATGGTAAATATAACATCGCAGGATCGATTCTGTGATGCAAGTGGATGCGATATGACACAATGGTTAGCAGGATTGATTCTGTGAATCTGGTCGGAATCGTTCCCTCTCTGCCTACGGTTTACCGTAGGCAGTTCTGTTTGACGATATATGTATATATTACCCGCATTCACACTTACAAATAAGACCATACTTTTTGTTTTTGGGGGGGGGGGGGGGGGGAACAAAACAAAACAAAACATAGAATCTAATCGCACCATTTTTCGGATCAACCACGTCAGCCACGCCTCACAGCAGCTACTTAAAGGTTCTGCCATTTTACGTGTCACTTTACGTTTCTCTTTCTTTTCTCTAACTGGTCTTCTTCTGTGTCAAGGTTCCACTTCACCTTTCGTTTCATGGACTCGAACACTGGTCTCCCACTGCTGGATGCCGCCGCCGCCGCCACTGATTGCTGTTGCCCCACCACCTCCCGCTCCACAGTACCACCTCCGTTCTCCCTCCCTGGTCTCTCTCCCTGGTCTCCCCCTCGACCACCACTCCCATTCTCATTCGAATTAGCCGCCGACCCCATCACCTCCCTCGCCACGTTCCCCACGTCATCATCTGTGCCATCGCTCGCTCCCGCGTTCTTCCTCCCCTCCGCCTCCATGTACAACTCTAGCGTGAGTTTTTGCATCGTTACCAGCATGTTCAAGAAGCCATTGTTTCGTGATGGAGTGAGCTTCTGCTTGAGGCCCAGCAGCTCAATGAAATCTGGGCTGATCCGAATGATGTCTTCCGGTCGGGATCCGCTCAGGCCTCCGACGAGCAGAGCGGCCAACCCCTTGGTCAGCGCGCTGTCGGAGTCCGCGCGGAAGTGGACGGTGCCATCCTCGCGAAGTGTGGGGACCACCCACACCTGCGACACACACCCCTTTACCTTGTACTGGGGAAGGTGGAGCTCCGCCGGAAGGGGCTCCAGTTTTGTCGCGTAGTACAACAGCTGCTGATAGCGCGCCATGGGATCGGGCACGGCTTGAAATCCCTTCACGATGCTCTGAAGATTGGCGGGAAGCTCCTCCACTGCCTGCAGACACACGATGCGCGGACCGACCGATGCGCCGCCGTTCGCACCCAACTGATGACCGGTTCTTGACGACGTCGACGTTGGCGCCACCCGCGCTAACGACGCGGCGGCGGCGGCTCGGAAGGTTTCCGCGCAGAAGCCGCCTCCGCTGTAAGAGGAAGAAGCTGCGGACAGCGCGCGCGCTCTTCGCAACACGGCGCTGGAAGACGAGCAGCAGGCAGGCGGAGACGCGGGGACAGGCGCCGAGCGCACCGACAGAGCGCCAACTGCCGCCGGCGGCTGAGGGGGCGGCTGGGATCCCCGCAAGACGCCGCTACGCAGTTGAAGAACGCCGGGTCCTGGCGTCAGAGCGCCCGAGGTCAGCCTCGAAACATGGTCCACACAGCCCACCATCGCCGCCGCCATAGCCGTCACACTCGTGCAGCACCCCCACCAGATCACCACACCACCCTCGTAATGCCCAGATCCCCAAGAAGCCTCAATTAAAGCGAAGTGATGAGCACCCTAGGCCTGTGGATCTGTCAAGTTTTTCAAACATGCCAATCGTTAGCAATTCAGCTGAGCAGAAAGAATGCAAAAAAACAGATAGCCAAAAAGCCTCAAGGGAAGCCAAGTGATGAGCACCCTAGGCCTGTGTATCTGTCAAGTTTTTTTTTAAATGCCAATCGTTAGCAATTCAGCTGAGCACAAAGAATGGAAAAAACAGGACGGCAAGAAGCCTCAAGGGAAGCGAGAAGTGATGAGCTCAATATACTACTTCCGCCTTCCCTTCCCTCGAACATACCGCACCCTGATAATCATTGTATACAAGCAAAATGAGGATGCGTTGCGTTCGGAGGATGCGTTGCGTTCGGGGGGTCAGATACAGTCAAAATGAGGATGCATTGCGTTCGGGGGAAGACGGTAGCCCCCCCCCTTTCCTCCCCCCGTGCGGGGCTTTCGCACGCACAATTTGGCAAGAGGACGAAGAAATAGTGAAGTGTGTGTGTGTGATACGGAGACGTTATTCTGCGCGCCAATTTTTGAATCCGGAAAATGAAAAATGATCACCAACTGGCCCACCGTCTTCCCCCGAACACAACGCACCCTCATTATGGCTGCACTGGACCGGAAAGATAGCTTGCATACATTCATTATCAGGGTGCGTTATGTTCGGGGGAAGACGGTAGCTCGGTTGGTGCACCGATGAACTGTTGAAGTACAGGCCTGACTTCGAATCCGAACACAGTGGATGAAAGAAATTCTTTTTTATTTATTTATTCAGTGGATGAAAGAAATTCGTGAATTGCCTTGGGGGGGGCGGGGAAAGGGAAAAAAAAAGAATTGCAAAAAATGAGTTGTTGCAAGCACTTTGGCACGGAAAACAAAACAAAAAAAAAAAAACAAGGATAAAATTGCAATCTGTACTTTTCACGAAATTTCCATATGCGGTAGGGGAGAGGGGGAGGGGACTGATCTTGTGGCTGTCACATGTAGACAGTAAACGAATACATGAAGAGAGGGGGGGTGTTGGGGTGGGGTGGGGG